GTTCGGATTAGTTGTTTGTGCCTTGGGGCTTGGGTTTGTGGCCTCTGGAGTTTGGGGTTTTTAACCCAAAGCTGCAGCCCAGCGACTGGCCCCGCTTTGCCACAGGGTAGTAGGCTAGCTCCTGGGAACGTGAATTACACCCTGCTTGGTGGGGATGCAAGCTGATGAAGCCTACGTCCTGGCATTTTGGTTCTGTCGAAGGAATACCTTTGCTGAGGTGGTTTGGGAGAAGGCCCCGGTCGAAGAACCTTTGGTTGACCCGGTTGCGTCCGACCTATTGATGCTCCTTGGCTTCTACGAGCAACAAAACATCCAACCAATGACCGGGAATGCGGGAAAAGGAGTTCGACTCCGCTTGCACGATAGCAAGGGTCCTTGTAAGCACCGGGAAGACATGCACGAACGACACTGGAATTACAAATATATCAGATATGTGCACATGTGACAGCCATGTATGCCAGAGCTCCAACTTCCAAACCCAAGATTCTGCACATTACTTGTTGGCTTCTGTTTCTGCACTGTTTCTGTGGGGAGCAGTAGCCGGGTAGCAATGGTGGTCAGGCCCGGGCCTCATCGAAGCTCTTGTGGCTTATGCACGTTTATGCTGCCTTCTCAGTGGGCCGTCCTTGTCGAGCAGCCCAGGCATAAAGACCTGATGAAGCTTGGCTGCACTTGGACGAACCTCGCACCCTTGACGCCCTACCAAGTTCATTGGCCTGAAACTTCTTAGGTTCATGGCGCCACAACAGATAGGCTTTTTTGGCAGGGCGGGTAACCTACGGTGACGCATCGAGCGCGCCGCCTCCAAACCTGCTGCGATTAAGATTCCTAATTACCGCCTGACTTTGGCTCGTTTTGACTCAAAAACCCTTAACCTGGCCCTCAGCGCCTTCAGCCGGAATTGGTGGTTGCTCTCCTCGGCCCAGCGCCAGGGCCTGGGTAGCGTGAAGGCCCGCTTCTCGCCTGCGAGGGGCTTCAAGGAGATCGCTCAGGGATTAAAGGCTCTTGGGACAAAGGGAAGGTTAGTTGGCACCTTGGGCTTGGAAGATTTGGACGTTGGCCATGATGCTTACCCTTTGGGTTTGCGTGGCTCGGCTTGTGCGAGCTGGGAGGTGTTCTGCCCAAGACTTTCGCTGGCAGCACAAGATTGCAGGGCTCAGAGGGGGGGTCGGCAGGCGAATTGGGGTTTCATGCAGCTGGCATTCGATCCGAGGATGTGCAGGATGTGTAGGGGCAGGAAGAGATCATGCAACCGGACAAAAGGGGCAGTTTATTGGACGGGTGCTGTCAGTATGGACAGCAAGATCAGCTCCAAAGCATGGTCAGGTGCATCATCACCATTTGTACCATCTGCTAGACGGTGTAGGATAGCCTGAACCAACGGTCAAAGAGGCCTGCACGGATGAAGCCCACGCAGCTCCCGGCAATGCCACCCACTGGCACCCAGCAAACCACGTCACGCGAAGAGTATAGGCAAACCTGGTTGAGGGTTCAGGGTTGAGGGTTGAGGGTTGAGGGTTGAGGGTTGAGGGTTGAGGATTTTGGGTTTAGGGTTTAGAGTTTTAGGGTTTTAGGGAATTAGGGATTTAAGGTGTAGGGTTTAGGGGTTGTTCTCCACAATGTTTGCCATTACTGCATGAGGTGCAAGAGCAAATGCTCGGCAGGCAGCGAAGCACCATCAGCCAAGCACCGTCAGCCAAGCAACCTTGATCAGCTTGAGGGAGCGGTTGTGCACCACCACCTCAGCAAACTGTTGCAGATATAGCTTTAGGGGGCAACTGCGTTCTCAGCAGCAAACTGTCATGGAACCTCGGGCCAAAGTCGTTGAGTTTTGCAAGATGTGCTTCTTCCGGCTTGGAGACTAAGTTGGCCCAAGGCTTCATGCTGGGGTGAAGAGGGCTGAGGCGTGGTCTCCACTTCTCGAAGCCACGTTTACCAGCGACTGTCCCCAATTTATTAGGTCCCAGCACCTGATCCTTGGAGCTGCAATCTTCATCTGCTGGGATAGACCAGTCCTTGGCTTTCAGGCTTGGGCCCTTTGAGGTTTCCTTACAGCAGGTTTTCAACGTTTCGGCCTGATGTTCTGACCAGCAGTAGCCCTGCCCGGCAATGCCTCACTCAAGCCTAAAAGAGCCACGGCGTGACTTTAACAACAAACTCTGCGGCACTTCACGATGCGTGCAGGCCAAACCTGGTGGAAGATTGGAATACATAATGTGGACCTTTCATGTTGGTTTAGGTTTGACAAACAGAAAATCCAGAATAACATGCTCCCGTTGACGGTTCAGGGCTTCGCAAAGTTGCTCCTGTCTGCCTTCACCGTTGACGGTTCAGGGCTTCGCAAAGTTGCTCCTGTCTGCCTTCTTTAAACCCTAAACCGGACAAGGCGTGTAAACTCACAGCACAAGTTAATGACAGCCACCGCCAAACAATATTACTGAACCCCAAACAAATACAAACGCCAACCGTAAACCGGCCACCCATCTGGGCACGCGTTTATTCCTTTACCCCACAGATTTGTAGGGGGGTCTACATAATGCTTGAAGATTGAAACAAACACCTCGGCTTCTTTGTTGCTATCGCACTTCTACAGACAAGGAGTCGTTGATGTCGTACCACCACTGGCCGCTCAGGATCCAGCTCAGGAACCTGCACACGCTGGTAGGGCTCGAGAAAACCTGTCTTATGAACTCTGGCTTTAAGACCGGTGGAAGTTTAGCTTTGGGGAGCGGGGTTGCACGCAAGACGGCATCTCTCCTGCAAAACTGGGCATCCACAGGCAAAATACAACAGAATGTAGCCTACCGTCAAACGTCCTTCACCTGCTAGCCTGCGTTTGAAGCGACTAAAGATTCTGCGCGTGGGGTTAGATAGGGGTCTTGCATAAGCAGCGCAGGTTCTGTGCAACCAGTAGGCCGAAGAGTCTCTATGTAGAAGTGTAGGGCATAGGGCTTAGGCTACCTTCAGAACCATGGTTTGCAAGTAGGGTGGATCTTCAGGGGCTCAGGGTTGGGCAAGCGAGGCAAGGGTCAGCTTTGCGGCGCGGGGTACCGAGACCAACTCTCCCAGTACGCGATCTTCTCGCAGTGGAACTCTGTGCTTTCCTGCTGTCGCCGGCCATTTGGAGTAACAGGCGTTCTGAGCAGAACGAATTAAATTCCCAGTGGTATGTGATCTGCAGCTAACGCATGGTTGCTGCTTACTTGGAGTTTACTTTGAGTTCACGGCTTGGGAACTGCTGTCTCACGCATTTATTTATTGGAGGGTGGCTCTCTGGCGAAATTGCGAGGGGGAAAGCTGCAGGACCATAGAATTTCGGGACCGAGCTCGACCCCAAATCTTCACTTTGATCCTAGAGAATATTTAGCATGAGATGTAGGCCCCTGCTTGCCATCGCAATGGAGTTCTTGATGAATATAAACTTGGTGGTCGAAAATGCTGGAAAAATTTGGGCGGGGCGAGGCTGCCACCGAGGTGTGGAACCTCATACACAGGTAGTGTCTCTAGTGGCGGGTTAGAAGACTTCTCCGCAAATAGGCAAACAGCACCGAACAGACAGAGCTGAAGCCTCTGAACCCGCCCCTGGGATTCAAATCCAGCCCGGCCTAGCCCTACCCAATGTCCCAAGACAAACGCATCCCAGCGTCCAGCTCATCCCCCTCTGGGCTGCAAGGCCCTAGATGATGCTTCCGCTCGTCCTCCTTCCATTCCAGGATTTTGCTAGTCAAGTAAGTCAAGCACTGTTCGGGGCCGAGCGGCTCTTAGCAAACTGAGGCGTGGGCTTAACGAGACCATGTTCGGAGCTCGGTTCTCGGGTTCTGCATCTTCTACCATCTTCTACCCGGCTGTGATTCGGTCTCGTGCATGTTTTGGGCAGCGCGTGAATTTGTGGCTCTATATGCGGACATTAAAGCTTCGCGACTTTTGGCAAGCATGTTTCTGGGGAACATGAGCTGAGATCAGACACGAGCCACAGCATGTTGGTTCCAACGGTTGGGCTGGGGCCTCAAGTCTTTTGCAGGTGTGGCCTCATAGAAAAAGTTCAGAACCCCCCAGCCCATGGCCCTCTCACTTTCAGCCCAAACCTTTCTCAGTTGCCCGCTTCTGAAACTCCATGCCCCGGAATCGCTGACTGGAATGCCACAAATTATTATCTAGTTTGCTTCTGTCTTGGCCTACTTGACTGCATTTATGTTCAATGACACGTCGAGGGCCTGGATGTGAAAGTTGGAGGAGACCATGCATGTTGTGGGTTCACTGAACTCTTGGGAGAGGAGGATATCAAGTAAGAACGGAAGTTTTCGCATGGAGCCGCGGTGACTAGTCACTACTCCACCGAGGTATACTCCCAGCTTGCCTGGCAGCACAAGCGGGCATACACATAGGCGATCAGGGCCAGCGCAATGCCGACAAGACCTGCAGCATCCCTTCATCTTAACCACTATGCGATGCACCCAAATGGACACCCCACAACCGTCATACTTCGGCTTGAATGAAAAAGTGCAAATCCGCCCATGGGGCCCGAAGCATGATCCTGAACGCCCCAAAAGCACGTGCAGCTGCACCAAGACACTGAAGATGAGGCAACGCTGCCACGTGCCCAATGCGATGGCCGAGTAGCCTGGAATCCAGGGAGCTGTTGATTCGCTTTGGCCGCGACAGGTACATGACGTGAACAATCAAAACCAGTGCCCTAGATGCGAGAGGAATGTGATCCTGATGACTGGGATGACACATGAATGGCGATGTACTTGGACCGGGAATCGCATGTACAACGGTGTCTCACTCACTCACTCACACACTCACTCACTCACACACTCACTCACTCACTCACTCACTCACACACTCACTCACTCCGTACTAAACAAGAGCCGAAAAAGGAGTTAAGGGCTGCAACCCATCAGTTCTATGTCATTCAGTGGACCTGATGTCGTTTGTAGCCGTAACCTCAGAACGAAGCAGAAACACGAAACACAACCCTCCCTTTCGACCAGGCACGGATGGCGGCCATGAACACGATGAGCAGTGCGCTGCACAGCCTCATGAAACCGGACCCTCCGACGCTGAAACTCCCCGGCGCCGCCAAGGCCCAGCAAAACCTGCCAGCTTATGTATTGAAGGACTTATCCACCATAAGCCCGAAAGCCCCAAGGTGTAACCCACCAGCCGCAGCAAGCCCAGAGACTGCCAGTATCCTTCTGAAAAAACACCCGAAACAGCTGAGGAGGCCACATCACCATCAGAGCGAAGCCTGTCTTGTCTGCGGCTCCGGATTTCTTCCTCCGCTCCGCTTTGCGATGTTTCATGATTGCGCTTCGGATTGGGAGTCAGGACTTTGGAAAAGGCCTCTGGCCTTTAGCCGATTTGGAACTGCATGTGATACTGGCCCTGCCCATGGCACTCCGACAGGAGAACAACAAAAGAAGTGCCAGCTGCCTGGCCAGAAAAAAAGCTATGGTCTTGGAGAGATGTCTGGGAACTGAATACAGTGCCTTGCCGTGGACCTCTAGCCGGGTGGCAAGAAGGTCAGGTCATAGGCATCGTAAAGGATGAAAATCGCCAGTCCAATGAGAGCAGCCTGCAACACCAGCTGCAGGGTCGTTCTGTTCAGCATTGTTCAGCGTGTGGCTCAAGAACTGGAGTTCCAAAGTTGAAAGCTGAGAGCTGAGGAATGAAAATGTTGACCCCCACGAGAACCTCGGAAAGCACTTTAAGCCCTGCTACTATCGCGCCCACCCCCCCAAGGCCCTAAACCTCTCTAGGAGCCTCGAAGAGGTAGATCCCGGCGAGGCTGATGATTAGTCCGAGTCTTGTGGCAGGCACAATGGGGTTTGTAGGCTGGGATTTAGGTGCTCGTAAGTTTGGCAAAGGGCGGGGTTTACTGGCTGGGATAGACTGGTTTGAGTCCGGAGGGTGCAGGTTGACTTCCTGGGCTTCAAGACAAGTTCTGGCTGGGCTTGGAGTGGCTTAGGGCCCATGGCGTTTGAGATCCACGCGAAAACTTCGAAGCAGACTGGGGCATCGAACGGCCCAACAGAAAGGCTGGCCACGATGCCGCTCTAGACCCGGCTTGAATCTTGCTCCAGCCAGGAGGCAGAATGCCAATCAGCATTCCGATCAGCATGACCACCAACCTCAAAATTGCATTGGTCTTTTGAGTTTCGCTTTGTGAGCGGTGAACTATTGATGCGAAAGAAAACTTTTGCTTCAAGGACGTTATGAAGGAGGTCGCTGATGCACGAGTGGGTTGAAATGAACAACACGCTGCAACGTCAGCCACGCCCGACCTCAGGGTCTCCTTGCGTCGCTATGCTCGCAAGTTTAAAAGCTATTGAATAAGGATGAAAAAGGAACGTTTCTAATGGTGGGCCAAGGCAGGTTTGTAGAGCAACGGGCTCTCAGCTGCGGGACTGCGCTGCTATATATCGGGTGACAAGGATCGGGGACCTCTGTGGCACTAGAAATTAGAGATCAGCCAGAGATCAGCTTCTCACGAAGGCACTCGGCAATACAGTTTAGCCTGGTAGCAGGCCCAGAAATATCCATCGAGGCCTCTCCTCGAAGATGAACTGCCTGCCAGGGCGCACGAGCTTCAATGAATCATCCAAATCCCTTGGGTCGCCGAACATGAGGTTCATGCCAACCACGTCTGGGTCCTGACCGCCGCCTTTGAATCCTCGCCCCAGCCTTCTACGAACCACCAAACTCCCAAACCCTCAAACCTGAAGGCAAAACAAATCCATGCTTCAAACAGGAAAACCAACCCACCCACCTCCCACTCACATGGTGGCTCATCTTTGTACTTCTCCAAGGACCCGCATTGGCTGCACGCTGCACGTGATTAGGGGTTCTGTTGTTTGCTTAAGCGTGCATGGGGTGGATGAGGCTTTGTTGGTTTCGGTTTGTCAGGGTCTGCTGCGCTTTGGCTTTAGACATGAAAGGTTCCATCTGCTGGTGAGGCTCCGCAAGGATTACTTCTGAAGTCTTCCGTGGTATCGTGAGCATCACGTCATCACATCTGTGTTTCGATTCTGTCTAGGCTGCATGCAGTACATGCATGGTTTTTTAAATTTGGCTTCTTTATTAGAGGGCGGGCACGCTTGGCAGACAAAGTGTGAGCCAACTGATGGCTGCCAGGCCAGCGATTTAGAGGAGAGAAGCTTCAAGTTGTAAGTAAAACTGTTTTGTTGGGATGGATTCGGGATCTATGGAATGCGTTGGTGTTCCCTATGGCTCTATCTAGCGAATCTAGCACAGGGCTGGTTTGTCCAACAACAGAAAGAACAACAGAGGGGGGGGGTTGATTGTCCGACCCCGAAATGGGCACCTCATCCCTTTTGCATCCGGGGAGTGAAACCCTTGAAAGTCGAAAACCATGTTCCGGCCGTCATGCATAACCCGAAAAAGTGCATCCTACCAGCCGCTTTCTGTCCTAGACTTCCAACACCTGTCGGAAAGGTGGGCGCAAGCCAAAACTGCAGGACTGCAGAAATGCTGCATCAGACGTGCAACTGCCATGCAGTGTCAAGCTGCATATGCCGTGTTCTCAAGGACATATTGTTTTGGGAACATCATGGGCGTTCTTGGGTCTCTTTTAGAAAGCAATCTCGATCAAGCAGCACCACCCATCTCTCAAAGGGAGGCTTTGCGATTCAGGTTGCGACCGTGCGGTTCGGGTTCATAACTACGACCCGAAGAGGGGCAAGCCGCGACAGCCCATGAAGCAGTGTGGAACGCTAGAAGGGAAGAAAAAAGTATCTGGGCCGCTGGCAACCGGACGTTCTCGCTCAGAATTCAGGCCTCGTATGGGTAGGACATGTGTCTCCAGTAAGGGGTGGCGCCTTGCTCAGGGGCATCAATGGGACGGAGGGCAGTCGTTATGAACGATTGAGGAGGTGGAGCGCAAGTAGTTTAACCTGCCTACAAGGGGCTGTTAAACAAAGAGTCTTTCAATGGGATTCGAGAAGCAGCGTTTGTTTTCAAAACTAACGTACGCGAAAGCAACGAGTGATGATCCAATGTAAGTTGGGATGTTGGAGGAGATTTTTCCGGTTGTCACCAACGACTTGCCACTAGACTGGCTTTCGGCCACCGATGGCAAGGAAGCCAGGAGGTTTGCGAGTAGCTTTGCTGTTCTTGCCCGTGTCTTGCACCCGCCGCTTGCCTCTCTGTGTTACCGTATTCGTCTTCCATTGCCTTGGGTCGATAAATTCCAACAAAAAGTCCTCGAGAGCTGACCTGATTGGGAAGAGGAATGACCGAGAGCATCCATTCTGGAGCACTTGCCTGCGAAGCTTGATCCTGGGTATGTTGGTGCTCGTGCTCCTCAAGGGAGGCTTTGACGTTATCTTGATTAAGGTTGGGAGGCCAATCCTGGGTACGAACTAATTGGGTGCGAACTACTTGCTCGTAGCGGGCTGTCTAGAATATCTAGTACCTAGAACGCTTATAAGCTCAACTTCTTCCTTGATACTCGTGAACACTAGACTAGGTCAAGGTCTAGTGTTCAGGGTGCAGGATGGAAGGTGCTCACGCTTCATGACATGCGAACCAGGAGGCGACAGTGCTGCGCCACTCCGTCACGAAAGAGGCATGAGTTGGCGTCCAGCTGCTCATCCATGATTGGGTGTCTGGTCTAAATTGCTTGCTTAGCCCTCATGCCCCAAAACGTACACCTAGAGCTCCGAAACCCTATGAACTTCTCTGCCAAGGTAATCGGACCCAAATCTGCCAGACTTGAGGCCCCCGGCCATTCATCAGCGGGGTGACGAGTTGCTCCAGTCCAGAGCGGAACTTGTCCTCCTTGCAGTAGCTCAGTGCTTTGTACCCAGTCCGTCTTTTCATCATTTCTGAATTATTTCGAGGTGCATTTTGGCAGTCTGAGGTTTGACCAAGTGCCTTTTAGCCCTCCGGACATAAGAATGGTTTGCTCAGTCACCCCCGCTGCCTGCTAATCTCCAAACCCCATGTACAACAGTGCAGCCAGCAAGCACTCTTCAACCGTGCACCTTGCAACATGAAAAACCCTTGACTGGCAAGCATTCACATACCTTAGAATCTAGGCCGTCCAGCCAGAGTGATAGCAAGCTCTAGCCAATCTCCTCAGCCAAGCTGGCAACTACAGAGCCCACACCATCGACGATGAAGAGGTGCATGCGAATCGGCCTCGCCCCGGAAAACAGGCCGTGAGATGGGTGAGGGGTGGAGTCGCGAATGCTTTAACTGCTACAAGCCGACTGCAATTCAAGTTGGCCTTTATCATCTCTCTCTCCCTTTCTCTCTCTCTCTCTCTCTCTCTCTCCCTCTGTCTCTCTGTCTCGCCCTCTCTCCCTCCCATCTAAAGGCACTACCAGATATGAGCGCACCTCCAAGAAGCTGCAGCAACACTGCTGCTGCAAGTTCTAGTCCCCTTGAAGACACAACTGACCTGAACGAGCATGAGACCAGTACCGAGGTCCCAGCAAGGAAATCGTCCGCACCTCCGGGGGGCAAGAGCTGAAATTGCTCTGCTTGTGCTTGGCTTTCTCATCCTCTCTCGCCGTGCGCTCCATGTCAATCCTACACCCTCGCTGGGCTCAGGCAGCCGCATACAGCTCGAGCAGCTGGGGGACCAAATCCTGCACCAATCACAGGCGGTGAAGCTTCCGTTGGCCACACTCTCAACGCCGGAACAAGAAGAAGACGATACTTGGACGATATTCTGACGTGTTGGCCCTTCCCAAGCTTCCCCCTGTAAATCACAGAGCCGCAATCCGCCCCCCGTATCTGCCTGCAAGTGGTGCTTGCCGCCAAGACAGATGTCTTTGAAGGCAATGGATGCTGCCTCGATCCCAACATCACATCAGGTGGTTTCAAAACTTATGGCATTCGGTTTGGGGACTAGAGATATCCCTAAACCCGAAACCCTAAACCCTAAATATCTCAGACTGTTGGGGCCTTTGCGCTTGCAGCCCACCTGCTGCACTTGCTTGGTGCGCTCCACCAGGTGCGCAGGGCTGTGGGGCGGGTCCTCTCAGCCGGGCAGCGCCACATGGGCCAACGGCTTAAGGAACACTCGCAGACAAGGGACGCGTTGAGACCGCAAAGCTCAGGAGTTGTGAGTTTCTGGACTTGAAGCACTTGTCTGGCCGACCTACGCAAACACTTCAGAGAGTCGGCACTACTTGCTTAGTAAATCCAATGAGACTTGGGATTTATCTAGATCTAAGGTCGGGCCTTCGTTCCCGGGTATTACGCCCGGCCATTTGCCAAACGGGCTTGGAAAGGATTCGTATGTGTTAAACGCAAGTCCTCTTCATGGCATAATCTTCCTTATAAGGTAATCTTTCCACTTGCACGACAACGGCAGGACCAGGGCACCAAGGGACGGGGGTCCGCCAAATACAATTCATCACAATCGTAAAGAACAGCAGCAGGTAGTGCCCCTTCAGCTTTTGCCAGATCAAAGCGGTCAACCTCAAGAGCAAGCTCTCAGGCTCGGAAG